TTGTGATTGGTCGAATGCTCCAAATACCACCCCTTTCATGTGAACGCGCACCTAACTAGATAGGACACGGCTGGCTTGAGCGATCCACTTCATAACCCGCGTCGTAGGATCGTTAGCGAGAGCACGTATGTTTTGGATTAGGCCAACCGGCTAACTCAAACATAGCCAGGTTATGTTGAACCAGCTTCGTAGTACAGGCCTCTGGTGTTGTCTTTATTTACTTCTCAAGTTTTTACTGAAATAATACATGAGAGTCTCAGTGTGTGAGTCTTACTCTGATCCCGGCTGAGGACCTGGCAGTTGAAGCCGGTCTTCCCCAGCTCGCGGTTGATCTGGAGCCAGCGCTTCTGGGGGAAGATGGTGCTGAGGTCTCTGAGGAAGCTCTCCATGCCCTCCTGCCCCTCTTTGGGGAGACTCCATGAGCCCAGCACCGACAGCTCCACCGCCCCACTGCGGGCCTGGATCTGGGGAGAAGAGGAAGGAGTGGGGTGAGAAGAAAAGGCAAGACGTTCACGTTTTGGACCTTTAAGAAGCAGTGTTCTAAGACTCTTTTTTCTGGGACATTTTATTTTCAGTTCATTGACAAACTGAGCAAAATGATACTTCCACCCATCATCTTTGTTGTTATTAGGAAATGCAGGGGTAGACATTAAGGGTCAAATTCCACTGGCCCGGAGCATTCGTCCAAAGAATCGACTAATAATTAAGAAAATTAACACATTTGTTGCAATAGTAATTTATGCACAAACTACATTACTACTTGTACTACAACATTTGAATCATCAGTTCTTCCTCATTTTCCTCAATTGTTCATATTTGGTTTATTAATATAATTATATTGTGGTAATTGTGAAAACATGGGGTTGAACTGAATATTGGGTCAGTTGAAAACATTTGGAAAATTTGGATTGTTTTTTTCAATAGATGTTGACTTTCGGCCTGAATAACGCTCCGGATTATGGTACATGTTTGGATCAAATGAGTATGAAAAAGATCCTATGCAGCAAACACTGGAAAATTATTCTACAGATAATATAATACTAATAATATTAGTGTAGAATCATTTGTATCTGCAACTGTGCACAAATACCGGCTTTGAAAGAAAGAAATTCAGCGCAACATTCAGATGTTGAAATTAAAATGTAAATGTCAATGTTATGAATAAAACTTTGATACTCAAACAAATATAATGAAAGCTCTACTAAGGTGTCCTCTTTATATGAGTCAGATAAAACAGTAGAAATGTTAGTATCGGGTTAAAAACAGGTTTAATTGTGCCGCAGATTATTATTATTTTGAAATGCATAAGGTTAAATTAGTCCTTGAGGAGTCAAAACATGAAGCCTTCAAAACATGAAACCTTCAAAACACTAAGCGTTGTTACAAGACTTTCTAGGTTTTACAAAGTCACAGTTTTTCTATCTGGGAGGACACAGGGGTGTCTTCAGTGCTGCTGCGCGTACCTGCTGGATGTACTGTTTGACCTGTCCCGGGATGAATGGGTAGTGGATGACCGCCAGCACCACGGCAGAGTCATGGCCGGAGAGCCAGCGACCGACCAGCAGGCCGCTGTCAGCCCGGTTACAGCACTGAGGGAAGAAGATCTTCAGCACCATGACTTCACTGCAGCTCTGGTGATCTGAGAAAGAGAGGAAACAACAACCAGATGAGCTCTACAGCACAGAAAGAGGCCAGCTGGCTGTATTCTAGATGCAGCTTCCTGTCAACAAAAGATACATCTTAATTCATCCCTGAAGGACTATTCAGGTGCGAGAGAAACAAAAGCAATAAGACTGAAGGACAGGATATGCCTGGAAAGAGTTCAAAAAAGGATACTAAGAATAAAAATAAGAATATGAATGTAAGCAACAGTAAAAATAAGATTAAAGATTACGAGTGAATATTTTTTATATATATTTTTAAACAAAATCCATGAATGCAACATTAGTCTATCTTTCATTTATTAGTGGTATCTCTTTCGTGTGGCTCTCAGTACATTAGTTCCTAAAGATTTCAACCTTTTAAAAACAGCTTACAAAATATATTAAAACATATTTTTTTCAAGGGCTACACTGAGAAAAGGTTGAATGGAAAGCTAAAATAAAAACCTTGTGTAAAGCTGACCCCGTTAAAAAAGCAATAGCTTGATATTTTACTTAGGTTATATTTCGATGCTTTAAGGTTACTTTTTGTATTTTTAGTTTATTTCGAATACATTACATTGAATTGGAAACCAGAATGTCCTACACTGTCGTATTGCTACTTGCTTTTACTTCATATAAAAACCATCTTGCACCACTGGTCACATTTATCATAAATCACAACATTTCAAGTACATACAAAAATATTTCTAATGTATATATAAAATACCTGATGTCTGCCGAATCGAAAAGTGGATCTTTGACATTCATGAGAGATATTTCTGTTGTTAAAACTGCTCTACATGAATGCACGACGGCTGGCAACTGGTAAAGTGTCCTGATTTTGAATGGAGTTTGGTATGAACGGAACTGAACGGAACTGGACGATTGGCCTCCTTTTATGCCCTTCAAATATTGAGTTTGTAGCGCGTTGTTGTGGCAACATAAACCCCGGGGCTGGATTATTATTGATGTCAGTGACAGTTATGTCAATTAAAGGGTTAGCACAGGAAAGTAGGTTAGCTTGAGTGTTAGCCAGCGAAACATAAATGTGGCAAATTACCGTTAAAATAACAGGAATGTACTAAACGTTTATAGGAAAAATTAGTAAATTAACGACGATTGATAACACAACACAAATGAGAGGTAAACGACATAACTGCAGTATGGAGATCAGTTGTTGGTGTGTACAAAAATACAATATTTACCTTCTTTAACAACGACCAAATATTTCACCTCCCATTTATAACGTCGAGTGGAGTTATGATCATGGGTTTAGTGAAGACGCCATATTTTTTGTTGATAGTCCGTTGCATAAAACTGTCCGGTGAGAAGCACAACTCTAATATTTGGTTCCGTTTTCCCTCCCGTCGAGTTGTTTTTACATTTTCACGATTTAAGCAAATAAATAGACCGGACAATGACAACAACCAACAAGAAAAAAACACGTTTTAGTTGACGTTACTACAGTTTGGCTCCTTTCATATGTAAATGTTTACCGGAGATAATAAAACGACCAAAACTGTCAACTTCGGTCAAAGTAGACATGATACAAAAAATATCCCCCCAAAGAGTGAAAACAACATGATAAAATACGCCTGACTGAGAACCTGTTTAAGTATATATTACAAGTAACAGAGGTAGAATTTATATAGATTATGATTACTTTACTAAATAAAGACGATGAAGTGTTTAGTTAGTATTTGGTCAACATTTTCAATTAGAGAATAATAAATTAATATAATAAAAAAAACTAACAAGGTAACAGAACTCAAAGAAAATCGAAGAATTTAAACTTTGTTATGTTCTTTCTTTCTAAGGAAAAACATACAACCTAACTATACAATAGTAGCCTACTTTATTGTCAAACTCTCTACTCACCAGTAAAAGTGTGGGTGCTGCTGTTAGTGAATGAGGAGTTGGCCCAACTGTAAAGAGCTTTATCTCCACTGGAATGACTCAGCAACAACAAAAAAGAGCGCAAAGAAAGTGTCCAACAGACTATAATTAACACACATATTCCAGGCAGATCATGGCTATATTAAGCCTATCATTTCGAGACACAATTGAAGATAGTTAAAAGTGAAATATAATCATTGTCTTTGAGCGTTTAAAGAAATCAACATTAAAACAAATTACTATCTGTCTGCCAGCCACACTCTTTGGCATGCTCATATCATAATCAATCATAATCTCAACCATATTTCAAAATTGAAAGTCGGTCATGTGCTGGGGGGTGGGTAGCATATTGCATCAAATGTTATAATATTTTCTTACAATCTAGGCATACTCATTTGGATCAAATGGATGAATACGCGTGGACAGCAGGGGGAGGGACGGTGATCATTTTATTATACCAATTCCTACGGAAAAAGTTTAAGGCAACATGAAAAATGTTTTGGGGGAATTCTGCCCTTTTTTCAGAAGTCTGAGATTAAAATCAGAATTAGATTTTTTTTTTTTTACTTTTGGTCACATAAAAAAAAAGGTCTCACGTGGCTCTAATTCTCTTCCGTAAATTCAAACCTTAGTAATAAAGAATAGGCTTGTTTGAGACAAGCGAGACCTGCGCAATTTCGATCAACGTCTTGCTCGTGCGTTGCATGATGGTTAGTCATTTTGTCCGACTTGCTCTGGAGGCTCGCTCACATGAGACGTTGAAATCTCGCGGGACAAAGACGCCCGCAGCCTTGAGAGCGAGGCGCGGCGAGGCGGCGCAGTTCCTAGGCTTGTTTGAGACAAGCGAGACCTGCGCAGACCTACGCAATTTCGATCAACGTCTTGCTCGTGCGTTGCATGATGGTTAGTCATTTTGTCCGACTTGCTCTGGAGGCTCGCTCACTGAGACGTTGAAATCTCGCGGGACAAAGACGCCCGCAGCCTTGAGAGCGAGGCGAGGCGAGGCGCCGCAGTTCCTCTCCACGGGCTGCGGGGTTATGGCTAGAAAGGATCCGTCTTGTGTAAAACTCTCGCGAGAGTTTGGCTGAATGTCACGTGGCTGAATGTTTACGTTTGGCAGGCAGCCTTTCAGTTACGATCGTTAAAGTCCTTATCTTGCGTAATTTACTGTAGCTGAAAGATCATAGAACTGTTTCAAAATGCATTAACTTGTTGGGTCTTATTCCAGTAACACGTGATATAGATCGAATATCGTTTCCTATTTGCTGTAAATCACTTGTTAATATCGGGAAAATAGGTCAAATTCAGAGGTATCCAGAAAAGTCTGGATTCAAACTTGCCGCTGCTTGGTGCTGTGTCGTGACGTCACGTGTGGTTCCGCGAATCCTGGTGAGTTCAGCCCGTCCCAGCATCACACAGTGTAGCATTGCTGGTATAGCCGCATGTCAACTTTGTGTATCAGTGTTTATCATCGTCCACACCAAATAATTGTTCTGTCAAATTGTGCCAAATACCCGCGCTATTAGCTT